TTTTAAAAAAAAAGATTTTACTTAGTTATTTGAGAGGTAGAGTTACAGACAGTGAAAGGGAGAGAGAGAGAGAGAGAGAGAGAGGTCTTCCATCCACTGGTTCACTTCCCAACTGGCCGCAGTGGTTGGAGCTGTGCTGATCTGAAGCCAGGAGCCAGGAGCTTCCAATGTGAGTGCAGGGGCCCAAGGACTTGGGCCATCTTCCACTACTTTCCCAGGCCATAGCAGAGAGCTGGATTGGAAGTGGAGCAGCCGGGAATAGAACTGGCACCCATATGGGATACCAGAACCGCAGGCGGGGGATTAACTTACTGTGCCACAGCACTGGCCCCACACATTTTCAAATAAATAGGGAATCATTAGTCCCATAAAGAAGAACCAATAACGCTAAGATCTCCACTCCCCCAATAAGGGACATTCATAGCCTAGAGCTAGCCCTAAACTAGACTTTTCCAGAGCTGTTTCACCAATAACGATGCCTATCCTTCTTGCTAGAAGTGTCTCACAGTAAAATATCCCTTCATGATCAAATTTTGGACAGAGAGTAAACCATGGTCTACTGATGGCTGACATCCCATGCTAGGGTCAGCAAACAGGCCTAGATTGCCTTTACAAGGTCATATCTGTGCACTACGCTTGCAGCTCTCAGCAGAATCTCAAGTTTTGGTTTTAGGGGTTGGTGATGTCTCCAACAAACCCTTCCCTGCCAGTAATAGAGGTTATTGTTCTGAGCCTCTTGGAGGGTACAAGCTGGATCACTAAAATGATGAGAAAAAACCTTCAAACAGGTGGACATGGAGAGCATTGGGAATGACCAAATGGAAGTAAAATTAGCAAGTTTAACCTATGCCAAAGATGGAAGAAGTCACCAATGAAGGTGTGGGACATGAGCTGGTCCCACAATCACTGTCAGTATGGGAGTACTGGTAAGAAAGTGCTAAGTTGTTAAGATATTAGTGCTCCTTAAGGTGTACTTTGCTTGAAGTCTAATATGTGGTACAGGGCCTGTAGCTACTTCTGGATATGAAGCTAGAGAAGTATTCAACAGGACTGCCCTGGTCATGAACTATGAGCCAGACTGGAAACTTGGAACATGTTGCAAAGCCACTTTGCACACCACAGTGTAAACTAGTGCAACCACTGTGGAAGACAGTATGGAAATACCTCAGAGATCTGAATGTAGACCTACCATATGATCCAGCCATCCCACTCCTGGGAACTCGCCCAAACCAAAAGAAATCAGTATATGAAAGAGTCATCTGTACTTCCATGTTCATTGCAGCACAAGTCACAACAGCAAAGATATCAAACAAACCAGATGTCCATCAACTGTTTACTGGGTAAAGAAATTATGGTGTATATATACCCCATGGAGTACTACTCATGTGTAAAAAAAATGAAAACCTGTCTTTCACAACAAGATGGTCACAACTGGAAACTATTAATAACTTAGTGAAATAACAAATCCCAAAAAGACAGATATCATTTGTTTCCCCTGATCCAACTAATAGAAAACCTGGAATGTAATGTATTGGACTGAAACAGACATCTTGAGATTTGATGATTGTTTACAGCCCTTGTCTCCTCCATTGAGGAACAGTGTTTTGTTTAGTTTTATTCTGTTTTGTTTTCTTTTTCTTCATACTGTTTGTTGAGCGCCATTACTTAAAGTTCAGTTAACTCTATGATCATTAAATATACTGAAAATAGATCATGGTACAGGTTAAGAGTGGGAATCGGGGGCGGGGGGAGGCAGTTAGAGTGTGTGGGTGGGGGAGGATAGGGAGGACATCCCACTATGTTCCTAAATTTGTACATATGAAGTATATGAAACATGTATAACAAATAGTTTTTTTTTCTTTTTTTATTTTACACAGAGAAGCAGAGAGAGACAGAGACAGAGAAAGAGAGGTCTTCCATCTGCTGGATCACTCCCCATTTGGCCACAATGGCTGGAGCTACGCCAATCTGAAGCCAGGAGCCAGGAGCTTCTTTCAGGTCTCCCATTCAGGTGCAGGGGCCCAAGGACTTGGGCCATCTTATACTGCTTTCCCAGGCCATAACAGAGAGCTGGATCAGAAGAGGAGCAGCTGGGACTTGAACTGGTGCCCATATGGGATGCCAGCCCTGCAGACCAGGGCCTTAACCAGCTGCGGCACAGTACCGGCCCCCAACAAATAAATTTTTTATAAAGAAAATAAAGAAAAGACTGTGCCCCACATGTCACCTGATTGAGTCTGATTAGGGCACTCAATTTTTTTAAGTGAAATTGGTCCAGTGACATCAAAGTGTAAACACGCCCAAGCCTCAACAACTGTGGATCCCATCTAATGGCAGGTATATGGCAATGCAATTGCTCTGGCTTCCCCGTGAGTGGCTGAGTGGTGCAAATTACCCCAAACCCAGACCTAATAAACTGAGGGTAACAGCCTCACATATAGAGAAATAAACCAAGTTCCCTCAGCACAAGGATGCATACAGGACTCCATTTTACACTATGTGAAAAAGGATACACCCCTGCCTATAAGAGAGCACCCTCATGCTTTCAACAAAGCCCACTGAAGACCCACAAGGGCTGCTATGCTTATGAAACAAGCAAGGCATTAGCAAAGGGCCTTGCAGACTTTCATCAGCCATTAAAATGCCCAGAACCCAATTCACTTCACAGATGGCCCTCTGGGAAGATGACTCCCACCAGGATGGCCCTGTCTCCAATGACACCAGCTTAACCCACAAGGTTGTTGGTATACATGACACCACCTCAGAAAACAGCACAAAAGGTAATTAAGAGAAATGGTGGCATCACCAAAACCAGAAACATAAAGAATCTCACTTTGACCACAAAGTGACCATGAAGCCAGCATCTTCTTACTGCTAATAAGGCAATGGGCTTTGGAAATCCCCTGGATCACGCACAATACATCTGCCCCCATCAATGTTGCCTCTCTTAGCTCACAGTCCACTAAATATCTCATAGATGACCCTGCAGAATGCTACTTTGCTTTATAGGTAGCCAGTTAGCTCCACTCCAACTGCAGAAAAACCACAAGGACAAGTTTGTGAGACTTCCCTATGAGTTGCACAAAAATGTGGATTTGTTTCCTCATAACGTCCCTCTCTCCTGCCTGGTGGAGAAATATCTGTGGATTGCAGTGTGTGCTTTGTGCAAAGAGGCTGTTCCCAGTATAACTTCTGTTCCTCACTGGTGGTTACCACACCAACAGGGCTTTTCCCATGTGGACACAGGACCATTTCCTTTTTATCTCCACACACACAACCACAGGGTCCCAAATGCAACTACAAAATCCCAAAAACTTAAAACTGTCACCCGGTCCAGCCCCTGCCCGGCTCCGGCAGCTGTTCACTCCCTCTTCCCCACCACACACTGCCCCAGGACCCAGGCCTCTTGGCTTCAGCCTCAGCTCCCTAGAAAGTGCCTTCTATGTCTCTCCTGCTGCCCCAGGCCCACGGACTAACCCAGAGTGGGAAGTGGCTGGGGGGGTCCTCCCGCGGGGGTGCTATCGGCTGGCCTGCTCCCAGGGAGCCCCAGCCCCCAGAACAGACTCAGCTCCTACCTGGCCCGGGGACATTGGCCAGGCTGTCTCCTGACCCCTGGCACCGGTCGGTGCCCCTCTCCCTCCCCTGTTCTTCCCAGCCCTTGCCCTTGGTGGCTCCCACCCCTGCTCCACCTCTGGCTGAGCTTTGCATATTCCACTAACCTGAGCTGGCGGCAGGTGGAGATGCCAGGGTCATAGTTACCCCCAAATTTACTAAATCCTTGGGTTGAGACTTGTGCCCATTTCCACAAATGCTATTGTTGCTGAGTCTGCCCCACCACTGGAACTCAGTACTTTTCCTTGGGTGACACCTAACTTGTGGATATGGCACAGTCATCACCATTACATGTCTTGAGATGAAGGGAAACACTTCCTCTTTCATTCAATTGCTCCCAGTCCTTCACAGACTGACACTTCCCTTCTTCCAAAAAACATATGGTGGTCCTGAGACTCTGCTTTGTTCCTTTGGATGATGTGAGCATCCTCCTGACCACACTGACTGGCTAGATAGCACATCTGTACCATTACATTGAAAGTTACCCTGTTCCGTTCTGTTTTCACCCAAAGCCATATTATTTACCTCTCCTTGAGGAGGCAGAAGATAGAGAAGAGCGGCACATTTCAACAGGTGAACTGGTGGCCATGGGACTTCCTATTCAGTTAATTTAGGGAGAGATATGTGATGTGAAGCCTGCTATCCCTGGCACATGGTATTCATACCTGTCACATTCAGTATAGGTTCAATCGTCAGTCTAGTCTGGACTGATTTGCAGAGCTCTCACTCTGGAAGTCTTCCTGAGGAATTTGCTGGGTATTTTAAGTCTCATTCACCAATCTCACAGGTCCTTACTAGACAACATTTATTGCCAGCCCATCTATTACTGAAGTTAGATAACATTCATTCCTTCTGGGGTACAACACACACTTGATACATCCATAGTTTAGACTCCAGCAAAAGGGCACCACACAGTCACACATTTCTCCTCTAGTGCACCATCTACCTAGTGTTTTCCAACTTCCTCACCCTGCACAATGAGCAGACCTCAGGTCTTCAGGAGGTTGGACAATCGGATTCCAAATTCTCTGAGTGTGCATTGGTGTTTTCACCCTGCTCCCTTAACAAAAAATATACTATAAAGGGTGAGCCCATGGTTTCTAGTAGACTTTGATATTTTCTTGATCCAAAATATTCAGCCTGGGCCAATGGCCTAGGCGTCACAAGAAAAAATAGTGATTGCTGCCTAGGCATGCACAAGGCTGACCAATACAGACAAGAAGTCCTCTGCTGAGCCCCGTTTTAACCCAGTTTCCTGAAAAACTGCCGAATGGTCCTGGCCCCAGAGTTGATTCAATTGCCCAATAGGAAGTAAACTTAAGAAATTTTGAGAAAACATCTCGTTAAATAGAAGTCCTGTGCAGCAGATGTGAGGTGGCTGCTGCTCCTGGAGACCTGGGTCAGAGGACTGCTTGCTGCGTGCCTCTCTCTGATCATCCCACAAAGCCTGTGGATCTGTAAGTACTGAAAAGCTATCAGCTCTCACTTGGTGGTTGTACCATTGAATCTCAGCAGCAATCTGACCCTAAAGGTGAGTCTACCCAGGAGGAACCCAGGCGTGTACTCCCTGCTGCAGCTCTTCTGAAGGGCTCTTGTGGCTGCTGGGGACAAGAGCTGCCCTGTGAGTTAATAGAGAAAGGTGAAATGATTTGTTCGAAACACAAATATCCTACTAAACTCATCCAGTGAAGACAACAACGGCTTCTTCAGGTGTGCTTCTATTTTGCCAATTGTTTTCTAATCAGGTAATTTATTTTACGCTATTCAGATTTTGCTGTGATGCTATTATTTGGATATTAACCCTTATCAGATATCCCCTGCTGTTTACTAGTTTGCTTCTTCTGCTGCCGATTGTTTCCTTTGCTCTGTAGAAGCTTCACAATTCAATGCAACACCACTGTCCATAGGCAAGAAGATCCACATCAAGAAATTTCATCTCTATCTGATCACTGAGTAGTTTTATGGTTTCAAGGCTTGAATCCACTTTAGTTTAATTTTCCTGTATGATTTGAGATGAGGGTACAATTTTGGATAAATACATCAGATTGTCAGATTGGGCACTTTCTTTACACACAATTTTAAATTGTCACTGCTGCTTCAATAAAACAGGAAAAAATAAACACTCTCCCATCCTTTGACCAGTTATTTCTGTAGTACCAACTGAGTTCATTTCCACACTATCAGCAGCAGGAACCTACCCACCCCATAACCTTAAAATCCTCCTTCAAGACAATAGAAAGACCTAAGCACTGCAGTGATCAACTCTCTACTCACAGGGTCCAGGACTGGGAACAGATTTCAGACCTTTAGAGAGCAGCAGGCCCCATCTTCCAAAAATAAGAGGCATTTGCTACTTGATCTTATTAAATGAGAGCACTGCTTCTTCTCCATCTTGAATATTAAAGGCATATGCTCCAATGAGCTTGAAATAGGAAAATTTAGCAGAGTCGGCACAAAAATTTTGAGCCCCAGCCCAGAAGAGTCAGTAAACACACAGACTTGTATTACATTGGGGCTGCCAGAACAGAGAAGCATCATGAGGATTTGAGGGCAATGGCAGCTCTCTCCCTCCCTATCAAGGTACACCTTCCCTTCCAGCAGCAGGGTTGTATCTGAGCCTCCTCTAACAGACCCACAAATACAGACTGATGCCTCACTGCTCACACTGTCCTGCTCTCCCATCCTGCAGGTGCCTCCCGGCCATGAGGACCCTCATCCTCCTTGCTGCCATTCTCCTGGCGGCCCTGCAGGCCCAGGCTGAGCTCTTCTCAGTAAATGTCGATGAGGTTCTAGACCAACAGCAGCCAGGGTCGGACCTTACAGGGGAGGAAAGCTCTGCTCTTCAAGTTCCAGGTGAGAGATGCAACACAGCTGAGCTGGTAGAGACTCCAGGGAATGAACAGCACATGGACTCTGGAATTGCCTGGGAGAGTAACCGAGATGATTTTTATTTAACCTTCCTGGCTGGTGATATTCAAATCTGTAAATTGAATACTGAAAGCCAAATGAATCTGAGGGTATCTTTTAAAAAGACTTTTGAGGGCCGGCGCCGCGGTTCACTAGGCTAATCCTCCGCCTAGCGGCGCCGGCACACCGGGTTCTAGTCCCGGTCGGGGCGCCGGATTCTGTCCCAGTTGCCCCTCTTCCAGGCCAGCCCTCTGCTGTGGCCAGGGAGTGCAGTGGAGGATGGCCCAGGTGCTGGGCCCTGCACCCCATGGGAGACCAGGAAAAGCACCTGGCTCCTGGCTCCTGCCATCGGATCAGTGCGGTGCGCCGGCCGCAGCGCGCTGGCCGCGGCGGCCATTGGAGGGTGAACCAACGGCAAAGGAAGACCTTTCTCTCTGTCTCTCTCTCTCACTGTCCACTCTGCCTGTCAAAAAAAAAAAAAAAAAAAAAAAAAAAGTTTTGAATCAGATTTGTGTGTGCTATTCTCAGGTTTTATGACATGGAGAGGCACACGGACTAGTTGGTCTTATCTAAATAAGTACAATTAATTATAAGGTGAATATTGAACTCTAACAATAAGAGGTTTAGAAACTGAAATCAGAAGTAAGGTTGTCTTCATGTCTGTGTGTGATGGGGTCAGAGCACATAGAAGTGAACACAGTGAGAACTGGTCTCAGGCTCCACGTGTCCAGCACTTGCTTGTATGTTTATTCCTACTGTTGGGAGTTGCCCATGCTGCTGGCTATACTGGAGCCAACTTGATGATCCCACTCAGTCTACATGCAACTTCTCCAGCACGCCTTTTGGCACCCACCTGTGACTCAGTGCCTGACATTTTCCTTGTGTCCTCAGATACAAAGGGCATCTGTGCTTGCAGAAGACGCTTTTGCCCGAATTCTGAACGCTTTTCGGGGTACTGCAGAGTCAATGGAGCCCGCTATGTACGCTGTTGCAGCAGAAGATGAAGAACAGAAAAACGGATTCCTTATTTGCTTTTACAATTCAAGGGAAACTGTTTCCACTCCTCTGCTATGTCCTTTGCTTTCCTACCCCAAATAAAATTCTTGAAGAGAATGCTCTGCATGTGCTCCTATGCTGCTCGCATGTATTCTAGTCTGATCTATTTGAAATGCAGGACCCAGAATCTTAAATTCTTTTAAACAAAAGTCTGGCTCCAAATTCCACACATCTGACTTGGACTCAGGCTTCATGCAAAAGTGATATGAAAGCTCCAGTCACAGGTCTGATCTACCAACCATCTTCTACAGTCCCTTTCCTCACTGAGATGAGATCCACTTTCTTTTTCTTAACATTTATTTATTTATTTGTTTGATAAATAGAGTTACAGATGGTGGGGGGGGGGGATTCAGAGAAAAGACAGGTCTTCCATCTGCTGGTTCACTTCCTGAATGGCTGCAATGGCCAGAGCTGGGCCATTCTGAAGCCAGGAGCCAGAAGCTTCCTCTGGGTCTCCCACATGAGTGCAAGGGCCAAACACATGGGCCATCTTCTGCTGCTTTCCCATGCCATCAGCAGAAAGGAGCAGCTGGGAATCTCATCCAGGCCTATATGGGATGCTGGCATTGCAGGCAGAGGCATAACCTACTATGCTACAGTGCCTGCACCAAGATGTACTCTCAAAGTTTTAAAGACATTTCTCACATTTCCCACAAGTAATGCAAGGGATCACTGTCAGCTTTAGTAGAAGCAATCACAAAACCTTACGTCTCAGGAAAAGCCACTATACACTTAAGCAAAATTGTAGAGTTTTATTGAAAAGAGCCAAATGTAACAGATGCCTCTTAGATCTGGGATTTCACAGTTAATTGAATCAACACCAGTTTGGATTGGAAAAGGCTGAGAACAAAAACGCCATAAAGTAAAACAAAAAAGAAAAGAGCACTACACTGATAAAGTCTTGTGCATGTTATCTACACAAATACTGGAAGCTTGATTGTGCAAAATAAAGCTGATTTTCACATACACTGCACTCAAGTCCTCCACTGCGCTTTGCAACTTGGGCTCTCTACAGTTAATTTAAGCTACAAGGGACCCAATACTCTCCATAAAATATAGCTTCAAAAGAGCACCAGGGAAAAATGAAAAGAAGCACCTGGGACTCTTTCATAGTGCTGCAGGGAGCTGAAGTTTTGATACCAGACATCCCACTCATCAGTTAATGAAGGCAAGGAACTGGGTCTAAGCAAAGGACGTCAGATGCACAGGTTGCCCTGAGACAGCCGCAGCTCCTCCTGGTGCTCCACACCAACACACATACCACATGTGGTAATTATGTACTTCCTCAGCTTATCTTCTTGTTCCCACACAAGACATCTGGTTCACTGACAAGCATGTGTCTCTGAAGACCCAGCCTGACATCATAGTGAAAGGTCATCTGTGTCTTCCTCCTCTGGGCTTCCCTTTCCCTCTGCTAAATACTCAGACTCTCAGACACTCATCCTCCATGATTACAAAGTCACCTATCAGGATGTGACCACAAAACCCTTTTGAGGATTCTCATCTGATTAAGTTGATGCATCATAAAGCATAAAATTATAGTATCAGGGAATAGAAGCTTATGCCGCCAACTGCAATGCCAGAATCCCATATTAGCACCAATTTGATTCCCGCCTATTCCACTTCTGATCCAGTATCCTTCAAATGCGCCAGGGAAAGCAGTGGAAGACAGCCTAAGTACTTGCATTCCTGTCACCCACTTGGAAGATCCAGATGAAGCTCCTGGCTCATGGCTTTGGCCTGGTCCAGCCCTGGCCATTTGATGAGTGAACCAGCAGATGGAAGAGCGATTAATCTATCTATCTGTCTATCTATCTATCTATCTATCTATCTATCTATCTCTCCCTCTCCAAATCTGCCTTTAACATAAATAAAATAAACCTTTTTTGAAAAGTTTCATTATTATTTCTGGTCTTCAAGGGAGAACATGGAAACTTAGAGAGGTAAACCAGGTAGCCCATGTATATAAATTGCGTGACAGTATAATTTTAACAACTGATGAACATCACTGAAGGCTGAAATATTTAAGAAGATAATATGTAGAGTGTGCCTTTACAAAGCATTAAGACTTTAGAAAGAAAGAAAAGTATGGCAAGAAAAAATTCACTGTCAATCTCAAATGGAAGCATAAATGATCTTGAAGTTTTGGACAGATTTAAAGAAGAGTTAGAGCCAGCATTGTGCATAGGGGTTTAAACAGCTGCCTTGATACTGGAAATGGCCCTCAGTTCATAGTTCATATGCCAGCTGTCCCACTTCTGATCGAACTCCCCACTAGTGGCTTGGGAAAGGCAGTAGAGGATGGCCCAAGTGTTTTTATGCCCCTGCCATCCTCATGGGTGACCCAGATGAAGCTCCTGGCCCCTGGCCTCTGGTTCTTGGCTCCTGGCTCCAGCTTCTCCCAACCCTGTCTCTTGGATCCATCTGGGGAGTGAATCAGTGGATGGAGAATCTCTCTCTCTCTCTCTCTCTCTCTCTCTCTGTTTCTCCCTATGTAACTCAGACTTTCAAATAAGTGAATAAATCTTTAAAAAGTAGATAAAAGAGCTAGAGTAGACTTTTAGGTAATGAGTATGATGTAAGTGAATGAGGAATACAAGGCCAGTAAGTCACTGGGACCTGATTTTCTCACCTATAAGGAAACAGTGAGAGTCAAATGAATCTGAGAATTATTTTTTCTCCAAAGGCTTTTGATTCCAAGATATGTCTGTGAAATTCACTAGTTTCAACATCAGAAGAGACATACTGATTACTTCTTCCTGGATGCAAATGCAGAGATTTAATAATATGGAGTTGACTGTATGCAGTCTGTTTGAGTGGGTTTCAGAAGACAGAGATCTGTGTTTGATGCATGTGTGATGGGGCAGGGGCACACAGAAGTGAAGACAAACAACATTGGATCCCAAATCTGTGTGATCAGTGCTGGCTGTGGATGTTGCTTCCTGTTTATGGGCTGTCCGTGCCTCTGGCTATAGTGTATCCCACAAGAGAACCTTCTCATTCCAACCCATGGCCTCTCCAAGGCTCTCCTTGCTACCTGTCTGTGACTTGGGAGCTCAATACCTGGTGTTCTGTCTGTGCCCCCGAGACACTAGCAATATTGCTGCCTGCACCCACAGAGCTGGATCCCGTCATCCAGGAGAGATGCCTCTGGGCTCTACTCCTCTGATGATTTTTGATTCAAACTATACTGTGACTAAGTGGTGAAAACAGCAGGAATATCTTGTCCTCCACTTTCTTTCTCCATCTGAAATAAATTTGTGGTGGAAAGTGATCTGTGTGTCAGCTTCCCTGAAGTTTTCTTCATGTCTCATTAGGGTCCCATCACACATGCATCAAACACAGATCTCTGTCTTCTGAAACCCACTCAAATAGGCTGCATACAATCAACTCCCTATTATTAAATCTCTGCATTCATTCTGATGTTGAAACTAGTGAATTTCACAGACATATCTTGGAATCAAAAGCCTTTGGAGAAAAAATAATTCTCAGATTCATTTGACTCTCAGTATTCCCTTTATAGGTGAGAAAATCAGTTCCCAGAGACTTACAGCCCTGACTTCAGTAGCTCATGTCTCATTAGGGCCCCTTTGAGTCAAATGATTATCTGAAATCAAAATATTTTAAGCAAAATAGTTGCTCCAATTCTAGGAACGTCCAGATCAAAAACAAGATTCATATAAAAATTTACAAGAAAGCTTAAATAATGCTGCTAATATATTTATGAGGATACTTCAAATGTTTCTTGGGGAAAAAAATAGGCATGGCTTTCAAAAACATTTGTACAGAAATCAGCTGTCTTTTAATTCCATTTATCCATGAACTTTTTGAAAGAACCGCCTATCTACTTCTCTTTTAACTACACTTTCATTTTGAATGGATGCCCTGTCAGAGACATTTTCTATGTGCTAGACAAAGCATTTATTCTCAGACTCTAACTTACGTGGTCCTGACGCATTCCCTTCTCTCCCAAGGAGCTGAGATTATACTGCATAGCCCACTTCACACAGCTGCCTTTTAAGACCTGGTACTGCAGCAACGCCCCTGAGATAGTCTGACTTCAGATTGGAATCACAGTTAACATAGACATAGTGAGCAGAAGAAAGCCCCAGGAGCACCACACTGTGATGCAGTCTTCATCATCCTCTCGTAACTACTAAGAGCTGAATTTTATCAATATAAAATGATGCATGACCAATTTCTCATCTACACATTATAATGTACACTTTCTTGGGTTTCCTTCACGATGCTTAAAGCCTATAAAACACTGCTGGAAGTAACACTCGGGATAAGCAGTGAGAGAGAAAGTAATTCTCCGAGCAATGTGGCATCCTTGCTGTGCTGCAGTATGCTGAGTTTCCAATCCTCAAAACTGATCCTGCAAACCTGTGAGCAAAGTCAGCAAACTGCCCCAGAGGATGGAGGGCAACCACTGTGCCCTCTGCCCACAGCTCCCCTGTTCTGCTCTGTCTCCAGCACTACCCACCCCTACACACACACACACATGTGGGGATAGAGTCCTTCCTGAGCCTGACTTCCTCTTCCCCTCTAAGAGGTCACACCCCTGACCAACACTCAGATGGATGGCAGGCAAGATGCCATTCTGAGGATTCCAGACCTGGGAAATGTGACGATCAACACACGTGTCTGGAGACCCAGCATACTTCGTGCTAACTATACTGTAAGCAGAAGCATTTTCGTTTAAACTCTTTCAGTTCTATGCTGGTACGCTCTTTACCTGAAGCCTGATCCCCAGGCCATGACTGTCACCTGGCTGCACAGTAGTACAGGAGCATATCCTGTGAGTGCCTTGGTCTCAGTGAGGGTGTAGGTCAGTGGAACACCTGCCTTTCATTGGGAATAGCAAGCCAGGCCACCTGCAGTCCACGTGTCCAGAAGCCATAGGGAGCCACATGAGTCATGTTTAGTCCATAGGTTCCAGGAGGTGTAATGGACAGTATGAGGCCTCCACACAAATCTTCAAACCTTCTGAATTCAGGGGTCTGTGGGGCCAGCAGTAGCAGGACCCTGGTGTGTTGCCCAAAAGCACATG